GCGCATCCACCCGCGGTGAAAGTACTGTGGACTTGTGAGTCGCGCGGCTCACCATACAAACCCCACCATCGTGTTTACAGCACATGTGATGGACGTTACAATTTATAATTCTTCAGTAAAGCTATTTGCATATCACAGATTGCCCGATTCTCTTACGATAAAGTATGTAACTCATGATTTTGCCATGAAACAAAGTCTGCTGGCTGTACGATGAGGAAGTTGATGGTGTCATGTGGGTTTGTAGTTGTACAGGTGGGTATCTCAATTGTAGTCGTCGCAGGCAATCTTTCTGCTGCAATAGCCATCACAGCAAGTGACAAATTTGCGAAAGGTCTCTGGATATCGGCATCTGTTCCCGTTGCAGTCGTGACAGTCGCGGTCCAGATGACACTCTGAAAGCCAGCAAGCGTTCAAAGTACTGGGATAACTTGGCTCCTCTTGGTCTACTACGCGCTACAGTATAGGTGGCGCTGCTTACTTCTATAGCACTGCTTCCCAGGAATTTGCGTTGATATTTCCCGGCATTCGTATTCCAACCCCAGTTCTTGAAAGCAATCCACCTTTCCCATGCAGGCTTTGAAGAACGTGTACTCGCATGTGTTGTTAAAGCACCGGTACAGGAACGGGCATTCGTGATTATCTTCGCACGTTGCTGCAATCAGAAGCATCTGTACAGTTTACGGTACACACCGATGTCAAGCTGCGAGTATTGACAACGAGTCCGTACTGTTGGGCATAGTTAGAGGGTATTCTGGAGCATCCTTTGCAACGCACAGCTTGGTCGTGGTATCGCATCGTTGAAGTCTGCTGTCACAGTGGTCGTTCAATTCACAGAAGGTGGTGCCAGGTGGAAAACTTGCCTGCGTCAGAAAACGGATCAAGTGGGTTCGTTGCTCGTGTGAAAGCTCCACAAAGCTACTAGCTCCATGTCCTGTCAAAGTATAAGTACTGTGGCCTCCGCTGGTCGTCTGCTGGAAGCAGACGGATAACAGCACTGAAACCAAGATCACAGAAACATTCTGGACAGCAAAGGAACCCATCCTTAGAAGAAAAACCATGTGCCGATATTGACCTTCGAGATGCGACACGTAGGAAACTCAAGGGTACGACAAAGAACGACGTTCTGTTATTGTAGGAGCAAGTCGCTTTTGGAAGGGTGTGGATCGTCTTCCGGTGAATATGTTGACAAGGCCTGTACGCTGAACGAACAGGGGCTCTTCCGACATCTTGCTTATCTGGCGTGGTGGCGGACTATCAAGACCATTAAAATTTGTTATGAGCCATTCTATGGAGAAACCTCTGCACTGGATGTGGGCTATTCTTGGCGAGACCGAACTAGCGGTGAGGCAGAATTCAGAGGTGTGAGACATGACACCGTGATCACAAATTGGTGAATAACCGTCAAGTACTGAATTTCGCTCGAAAAACCCATGGCGTTTAATTATAGTATTATCATCTCTAGTACTGGAGTATATAGAGTACTCTATGTGAAAGCAAGATTTAAATCAGCCGATTTCTTTCGAACGCTTTCCGCGATGCGGTTTCAGCAGTTTTCTACACCACGCCGTCGATCATGTAGAGCTGGTGCTCTAACTTGTCCAGTTTTTCCAGTTTGGCCAGGTGGCGCTTCAATTCGTTTGTCTCCTCGACCATCTTTGCCAAAGCCTCCTCCATCTTTTTATTCAATTGCGGAGTGGTATCTTCCAGTTTGTCCAATCGATGTTCCGTCGGGGACTTATTCTGCTCCTCTTCCGGGGTAGAGTCCATTCGACCACTCGGCCGACCTCTCTCGACCAGCGCCTTCTTCGCCAACGGAAAGCTCTCCAGGACTTCCTGGAAGTCTTGCTTGGACAGCGTAAACAGCTCGGAATAGGATTGGCTGCGGACGGTCTGTGTGCGGAGTGGGTCGACCTTCGTGAAGCCGCTGAGGAGGCTGACTTCGCCGAAGACGCTACCCTGCGACAGTGACCCGTAGATCTCGGATCCATCTTCGGAAACAATGTGGAGTATGCCGGTCCGGACAATGTACATTTCGCGGGCCACTTCGCCTTTGCGGAAAACCAAGTCACCGGGTCCGTAGAAATGGCGCTCGAGTCGCATGATGAATTCTTCCAGGGCTTGCGGCTCGCACCCGCGGAATAGTTTAACCCTCTGCAAGAGCAGCAATTACTGCGATTTAAGATAGAAGAACGACCGGTGTACGAATTTGGGAGAAATGACAATGTTCTTATCCGACGACCCCACTTCTTCACACGCCGTTACGTGTCGCAAGTGCATCTTCAGCGTGATAAAATAATACAGCAAGAGTTTCAGATTGGTGTAGAAATCGTAATTTTTCTCAGCACTGGACTGCGCTGTTTTTGAACTTGGAGTTTGATTTTAGATGGGTGTGTCACAAGTTTTGGGGTCGAGTGTACCTGAAACGTGTCTTGAAACGAAACTTTTGCGATGGCCAGTCTCAAAATGGGCGGTAAAATTTCTAAGTCGGCCTGTTCATCCGTGAACATTTTCTGTTCCCACACATAGTTAAACCAGGCCCGAACCCTCTTTTGCATGTGCTCATCGACGTCCCGTAAAGCCATGTACTGCTTCACCGCATCCAAATGATGGCGGTACGCTTCAAGATGTCTGTTCTTGGCAGCCAGGAGATGTTCGGCGATCGCGATGCCGGCACCCAGGAGGAAGGTCCCTTCCAGTGTGACAAAGATACGTAGGACGCATTCGTACCAGTTGGCGTAGACCAATCCATCAACGTCCTTGGCAAGTACTACCAATGCCCACTGGAAACTCCGCAGGTACAGGTTGATAAAGTTGCCTTCTTCCGGTGTGGTGGTGTTGGCGAAGTTCGGGAAGGTCCAAAGATCGAAGCCGAAGCCTTGCCAATAGTTGAGGGCGTAGTAGGCGCAGCAGTTGAAGTGAATCACAATGATCGAATACAAAACCACCTAAAAAGCACGTAGGGAGGTAAAGCCTCAAAGACCAGAAGAAAATACTCAAAACAGTATGAAAAAAAGGATTCTGGATCGCTAATCGTAAACTGATCCTCAATGATAACCAGCAGCAAGAAAACTCGGTTCGAAAGAAGGAATAGACTGAT